GATATATCATAATACTAGTAGATCCATAAAGTATTTACAAATAGAATAAAAATCAAGAAAAAAGTTAAATGTACCTTGATAAGCATGGGGATACAATCATCCTAAGTTCTATTTTATCCTGTTGGTTTTCCTTGTCATCAATGGGTTATAATTAACTACAAAACATTGATTTGTAATAATTTTATATTAAATACCTTAATTTCGTGTAGTGCAAAGTAATGAATAATTTTGAGAATATAGAACACTTTACTAGACCTATGGTGAATGGAGAGTCAGTATAAACATCAGAGATTCGGTGTTATCTTATTATCTTTTATAAAAATTATGTTGAAAATTTTGAAACCTATGTTAAGGCACATTATAAATAATATAATAAGTATGCGAAATCCTACCTTATTTCTTCTATTCATTGTACACCCTTGTAGTTTTCCTCTTCACAGTGCGTATTAGTTGTATACAGGGTATATTCTTGACAATGTGTCGTCTGCTTTGTTTGTCCATTGGAAGTTGATAATCCGTGCTATATTGTGAGTAACAGAAAAAAAAATATGCGTTATGTTAACTAGGGAATAAAAGGGGGGAGGGTTAAGTCCCATTTGAACTGTTTACATTGACTGAATCTGCAAAGATCTTTATGAACACAATCCACCCCCCCCCACTTCATAACAATGTAAAATACATTAATTGAAGAAAAAATACTAATGACGTTAACGCCATTTCTCTTTAGAATTTTTTTTGAGAAACATTGTTTTAAAATCATTTGTCAAAAACAAGGAAACAACAAAACATTACCTACCAACGCTTCGTGTTTCATTGGGAGGAAAATGGTGACTGAGGCTATTGTTTCTTCCCGCCAAACAACTGAAACAAAATGACCACGCATACAGTCAAATTTTACTAATTTAAAAGATAGAAAGTGTTGAGGACACAGATATTCAAAAAGAAAATTACTTCAAATTTGGTCACAGTATCCAATTTATGTTTTCATTGAGAGAGAGAGAGAGAGAGAGAGAGAGAGAGAGAGAGAGAGAGGAGAGAGCTTTTGAATACTTCTCACCCAAAATGATTATATTGTTAACATATGAAGTTTGTCCCAAAATTCCGTAAGAAAGTGTAGTTTGTAGGAACCCGGTGTCGTAAATTAATGAAACTTTTTACAAAGATAAACTTACATGTAACAATAATCCATTTATGGACAAACATTGAGTAATTAAACAAAAACGTTATTCAAATACAACATTTCATTGCCTTGTGTGAGAAGGCGGCAAAGTGACTACATGTTGCAAATGAAAATCTGTATATGATATATAAAATCTTACAAAAAGGTTTTACTGTTCAGAAATTTGGAAAAAGAAATGAAAATCCTTAATATTGTATAAATGTTAACAAACTTTCCTCCAATTTTGTTGCACTTGCTTTGATTAATTTGAGTTTTGTAAAGCTTTATATGTTCCGGTTTGAAATCTGCATTAAAAAATGGCTGCTGCGTAGACACAGATCTAAAGAGCACACTGGACCGTGTTCAAATGTTCTGAACTTGGATTCACTTCTACAGAAACGCAGATGTCATAAACATGGAATATAATTTATATAATCCTTATTTTATTAAAATGACAGATAGGTTTTTTTCTAAGTATGTGAAGAAGAGAAACTAAAACAGAGACCGGTGGAAGGATTGACTGCAGCTCAATTTGAGAAGATAAACGAAAAAGCCTTACAGACATAGGGTTTTCAAAACTTCTTTTGTTTTTGATATATATATATATATATATATATATATATATATATATATATATATATATATATATATATATATATATATATATATATATATATATATATATACCTTTTCCGTATATTTTGATGTTAAATTTTCAAAACAATTCAGATACAGAGCCTGCCAAAAAGTAAAGATAATTCCAAAACGGAGGTTGTCTTGAGCGAGTGCCAGTTTTTATCTCTTCTCAAAATGTAAATAAATGATTAGTGGCCTACCAAATACTTTTTTATGTTCCCCATAGCTTTTATTACAGTCTGTATTCGCTATGGGATAGAATGGTAAGTTTCTGATGGAATCTAAGTCAATCTCTACCCAGATGTTCCGAATTGCCTCGTCTAGCAACGCAGCGGGCATGTGTTTGCAGTTCAAGTTTTAATTTTTGCCACACATTTTCAATTATATTAATGTCAGGACTTTGGTCTGGCCATTCCATGCAGTTAATGTGGTTTTCTTCCATGTATTCTTTGACAATTCGGGCTCGATGGACGGGAGCATTGTCATCTTGGAATATACAACTGTTATCCGGGAAATTATGAGCAATTACTAGTCAGACGTAACTGTCAATGGTCTCTATATATTTTGCATGATAAATATTACCATTTACAACAGTAATTGTTTCCATACTTTTGTACGTATTGCAACTCCGGATCATTAGACTCGTATGTGCACCACGATCAGGATTCAAGCAAGGGGATGACCACTTTTCTCCGGGCCGTCTCCAAACAAGAATGCATTTATCTATACCCAATTCCACCTTACATTCGTCATTAAAGATAACTTTTTTTCAGGTTTCATTTGCAGTCCTCTGTATATTCAGTTTGCACCATTCAAGTCGCTTTTTTCTTTTACATTTTTTGCAGGAATTCGGATAGCTTTTACTTACAAAACACGCGAAATCCTCCCTCATTCATTTTTTCTCTGAAATTTGACACAGTTGGAGGCCTGAATTTGCATTTGCAATGTACTACAGAATGATGGAATTGGGACCAGGGAAAATTATTCATACCATTGTTCTTACCCAACAAAACCGCCAATTATCGACTTCAAATGTCTTGGACTAACATAGTATTTAGCTATTAGCCAACCTCTACATTTAGAGTGAGATGTTATTCTAATATAGTTTTTAATACACTCATTTTAGTCCAGGGGATGACGATTTAGTCTATCGATCATTGGTGTCTGCAGGTGGCATACCAGATATTGATCTTTAATGATCTTGAACTGTCTATGATTTTAAAATTCTTGAGTAATTATTACATTTAGATTGTAGATCTTTGTTTGCCACATTTCTTTGCTACAATACATCATTCAACAAAGGAACCTTATTGTGTCACTTAAATTTTACTATGAGTTTTTTTTTTAACATTATATGTTCAACATTTTCAGGTGGCTGTTTCGTCGAACATTGTCGGACCACATCTCAAGTTCAAGTCACAGAGAATACTGTTACTAAATCAGAAGCTGTTACTATAGGTACTCCTTACCTTACATATTATCGTGAGGATGATGTAACACATGAAATGAATATTAATTTCTTGACCTCTTTTGAAATGTCGCCATCAATAAGTAAAATGAACGAATTGTATCGGAGAACACCAAAAATCCCCTTATTCCCAGCGGAGAACATTCAACAATCAATCAAACAATCAGTCAATCAATCAGAACATGCTTTTGACTACATGTATCTAGTCAATTTTGGGATATAAACACCATTTTGAGGTGTTTGTGGAATATCACTACACAAAAGTGAAAGATGTCGTTGAAAAATAAAGGTGAAGTCATCCCGTATGTCATGTACTTTAGTTGTAAGTTGGCCGTTAATGTATATAATGCCACATATATGTAAACAGATATTGAACACTCTTAAGTCTCTTTTAAGGGGGCTCTCTATATCGTCGAAACATGGCGTACTTCCGTTCGAAACGCCATTTTGGTCCAAAATGATTAGATTCTATCCTGAACAAATTAATTTAATACTGGTAATTAACTGTGTATACCATAACATGCGCTATAAATACTCTGTTGTGAACGGAATGTATCCCCTATATAAAATAAAAACTACTAAGATATTTGAGCCCACCCTTTAAACGGTTCTTTTCCACCAGAATTTTAATGATGTTTAAAATATTTGTTAGTTTTTCAATTTCTTTCAATTTCTTTATTTTTTTTTCTTAATTTTAAACTTCACTGATAGTATTTTTTTTCAGATTTTGGAGGGAATCCATCCGGTTATATTTTCATGAAAAGACTGTTTTAATCATTTCATGTTTTTACAACATAAAAATTTTATAAGATCTTAAAAGTAGAAGGCTTTTAGAAATATAAAAATAAAGGCTTTCTTTCTATAAAAAAAAAAAGAATTAAATATTTTAAATACTTGTTAAATTTAAATACTTTGGAAATTTATTTTATTGAATATTAAGTCTATTATTAGAAACAAACGCATGCAACAAAAATCACTTAGACTTCATACGTGTACAGATCCTCCTTAATTCGAGGTAACTGGGATATATCGAGTTGACATATGAATGTGCAATCAAGTTATTGATCTCAATGCGCTTGTAAACATAACGACTTCATGGTACCATGTGCCGTGGGACTTGGATCAAGTATTATTCACACTCAGTTAAAATGCATTTTACCGATAATTGGATTGCTACTTTCTAATGCTGAATACAATATTAATTCCAATGCCTTACCTGTACGTATCTAATTATTATTCAGAGAGTTGCTTTGTGTACAGGTATGTTTTGCATCCACACCTCGTCAAATTGTTTTCTTTGGCAGGGGAACAAAGGAATGGAGTTGATCTATGATATAATCCAAAACTTGCATTTCAAATACCGTTGAATTCCAGGAATCGTTTCCTGGAAGAAAAGAAAAATTCAAAACAATGCGCATATATTCTTAAAAAGCATTTATATATACCGTTCAAGACAAACCATGATTTAAAAAAATTCTAAAAACAAGTTTATTTGTAGAATTGTAATGAATATTTGCAGTTTTATAACAGTGAATTAACTATAATTACAGATGAGAAATCGGCAACAAAATTTACACTAGGTGTCAAAAATCAAGGTAAATTTCTTTATAATTTTTAGATGGCTAAATCTGTGTATACCGATTTTTGAACTATTTGTTAATAATTGCAAAACTGATATGATTTATAAAATGAATAGACCTTCTTCCTGGAGCTGTAGTTGGAGCATTGTTAGGCGGAATGTTGCTTGGAGCAGCTTTCACAGCCTTCAGCTTTATATATCTTCGTAGAAGAAGACAGGAACAGTTTGTGTGGTACTTTTTTTTTTAAATTTGATTAAATAAAATTTTCTTAATAAAAAAAGAATACTTTTCGGAATTAAATATTATGTGAGAAAGTGTTCTCCTATTATTTATTTTGCCATATATGATAGAAACAATATCTTTTGAAATTTTCCAACATTTCATTTTCATTGTTCTCTTTCAGTAACGAACAGATCTCCCACGCTGAGCATAATTTGAGATACGAAGCTGGAGACAACCTTATTATGCCACGTGTCGAAGAAAGAAGAAGCAATGTTTACTGCGAAATAAAAGATGAAAGGGTATACAATAACTCATCTTACATTCTTAAGATAGTCCGATCCTCAGGTTCTGAAAATCAACTTTCAAGTAATTGAAAATGCTCACAAAAATGTCTCTGATTTCACATAGTAACGTGAATTTACCCATGGATTTCTTCAAATTCATCATAATAATTAATCATATTATATAGAAAAAATGATCAAATCTCAAATATAATTTCAGGAAATGCGAGTAAAAACACCAGCTATGCATTTTCTAATTAAAAATTGATAAACAAATATAATTTAGGATAGAAAAATACAAGTATCCAGGCATTTGGAGAAAATTGCATCTTTTTATGCTTATACAGTATTTTTAATTAGTTCTTTTTACTTCAATTGTCATATAATACATAGTGTAAAAAGGATGTGCTATCATTGCTAGACATCACATATCACATCTAATTTCATATCATGCTAATAAGCAGTGGTATCTAATGCTAGAATAAAGGTAATTCGATTTCTTTAAAAATGAATTCATTTTTTTCTTTTATGGGGGTACAAATGTCAACTTTTTACAAGACCTTTTCTAAGACTTCAAAGAACCTTGAATCATATTGAGATGCATAAAATGAAAATTGTTGCACGAAAAGATCTCAATTTCAAGCTTCATTTTGAGACTTTTTAAATAAAATAATAAATTTAAGAGTTATCCTTCCTGGCTGAGAATCGGATATCCTTAAAAAGAAAGGGGATCATGTCTGAGAAGGAAATTTCCATAAGCTAGATATTTAAAAAATATTCTTAATTTTGAACTTATATAAAATTTGCCAATTATTTTTCGAGACGTACATGTATGTGAAAACTTTCCCAAGCATAGAAAATAATCAGAAATGAAGATGAAACAATACAACTCTCTACCTTTTTCATTCCAGTTACACTTTTTTATGTTTTCAATGCATTAAAAAGAATATGTTTATTTGGTGTATTTATCATTCCTCCATTATAATTTTTTTTTTGTTATGGGTATGAACTTACTGAAACATTCTTAAAAATATTCAGATGTTTGATTCAGATATTTGCGTTAAATAGTTCAGTTACAATATTGAAAATCTTTCATTAAATTTGTTGAAGAATTTGAAATTGAAAATTCATTTAATCAGAAACTAAATATGCATTCTTTGAATTTTTTTTTAAAATGTGTATTTAGTGGCATACAAAAATTAAAAAAAACGTTATCTTTTAGTATTTGACAATGGATTCTGCCTGTAAGTTCATTATACATAAAAACGATTTTCTTTATTGATTGATTGATTGATTGATTGATTGATTGTTCGTTTGTTGCTTAACGTCCCTCTCGAATATTTTTCACTCATATGGAGACGCCACCACTTGCCGGTGGAGGGCTACAAATTTTGACCTATACTCGGCACGCAGGGCCATTGAGCAGTGAGGGATCTTTTTCGTGCCAGCACCTACTGCGAAACGGGACCGCGGTTTATACGGTCTCATCCGAAGGACCGGTCTCCACCTCCGGCAGTTGGATTCGAACCCGCGACGTAAGGATCAACTCCAGACGCTCTAACCACTGTGTCACGCGGGCAACTTTGTTTATTTGAATATGACGAATCTAAATAATAAATAAATTAAATAAATAGAAATGATCAAAAAGATACTGTATTTTGCATGATGCATTTAATCATTTTAAAGGTTTAGAAAGAAAGTCATTGCAAGAATTCTCTACGTCGCATAAACTGAAATTTGGATATTTGTTATGTTGCTTATAATGATTGATCATATATGTGCATGGTGCATGAAGATTTTTTATTCAGTGCAAAGAGAATAATAATATATTCCCTGTGAAATAACAATAAGATATGGACAATAATTTCAAATATTGTATAAAAATACCTGAAATAAAATGAACTCACTTTAATTCAATACATTTTAGCAATTTTCCACAAAGCTATCATTTGTACCTCCAAATAATAGAGAGCTGAATGGTCCAGGTCCTAGATCAAAAGAATATAATATGTATGACCACTTGCATGAAACAAATACAGCAGAGAGCGGTAACGTCTACAGTCGCACAACTCCAGAACCATCAGTGGTATCAGCACATCAGGGAAACAATACGGCGTCTTCCAGAACCGATATAGATAATCTTGATAAGAGAGAAGATGATCTGACATCCGATGGTCGCTCAAAGGAATTTCCTGATGAAAAAGAAGGCACTGCCATTTACTTTGTGCTCGAAAAAGAAATAAAATGAACAACGAAAATAATTACCTTTTCCGTACGATTATCTAATCAGTTGCACAAAGAACTTGATAGCAATCTGAACAATAGCACATTACTTTTAATTTTTCATTGCCAACTGAACTTTTTTTTCTTTCTAGATCTTGAAAGAAATAATAAAAAATGCACGATATTTTCATGAACATTCACGTCTTTTGACATTGAAGGTCTATAACATCGTTGCTAGCTATAGCAGCATTCACTTACTTTCGAAAAGTCGTGCTATATTTCGACAGTTGTTTCATGCTAACGTAATATTTACATTTCAATTTTAATTTCATTTCAAATATTTCAACTCTTTTTGAAACCATGTAAAATAGAGAGACAGTTTCCAGCTTCCAGAAAACATAACAATGTTGCAATGTTTTTGTTTTGCTTGTGCGAAGCCGAGATTGTATTTAGGCATTTGACACATCGTGCAGCTTTCGAAGTGATCACTGTCCTTTCTACTTTGCCAGCAATGTGAATTCAAACATTAAAATTACATGTCTTATGCTGATTATCCATTGATTCTCTGCAAATAAACATTAATAAGTTTGTTAACCAACTTGTGAAATATATTTCTCATACAAAATGTATTTATAAAACCACACAAACCGGGGTTTTTATTTACATTCCATGTTTCTAAATAACAATATTCAGAGAAATGCAAGTATGTTAATAAGAATATTATTCACAAAATATAGAGATTACTTTCGATAATTTTTATTTTTAATGATCTTTCATTATAAATCTTTATAAAGCATGGAATGCGCAAGCACTTAAAAGGTCGAGGCCGAGGGGTCCAAGCTTCTTTTGAGTAAAGTTAAGTAGGTTAATTTTGGAATTTATTTCACCATATCTTATATGAAGTATACGGAACTTTGGGAGTAATATATATATATTTCTTATGTATGAGTAGGTGAAGGATATAAAATCAATCGATTTTCTAGTGTTTCCTATTGGATATTGGGTACCAGATATAGAACGTTCCAACCCTTTACTTTCCCCAGAGGATCAGTCGGATTAAGGCGATATGAAGGCCTGCGGTATTTGTAAACTTTTACTGCATGTTAAAGTTTAAAACAATGTGAAAAAAGAAGTGTAATCAAGCTAATCAAGATCAAATATCTGATCACAAATTACAAAATTAAAGTAAAGCAGACATTGACCCCTAGACACATCAAAACTGAGGTCAATTCCTTAGAGGAGTAATCATCCCCGTCTAGTTTTCACATCCACAAAAACCCTTTTTCTCGATTCTGTAAAAAAGTACTCCAAAGACAAATGAGTGTGTGAAAATAATGGCTTAAAATTTCGTGTTTAAAACCTAAGTCAACATTTTACCTAACGACAGTTTGTAATTGCAAATAATGTTATATCTATTTTAAACATAGAATTTGATGAACGTTGTTTTATTATTGATTATTGATACCCTTGAATCAAAAACTCATAGACATTGTCAGTGAGGAACCTCAGCAGCGTTTTAATATCAACTTCAGAGAACATGCACACTGTATACAGAATTAGAATGATTTTAACAAAGAAAATCTGAAGATAATGAATAGTAGTCGTGCTCAAATATTCAACGTAACATTACAAATAGAGAGCAGAGCAAACATGAACCCCTGAAAACATCAGAGATGGGATTCTGTACCATGGAAGAGAAAATAATTTTCAACAAAATAAAAATATGGAAAATGACCAAACATGTGATATTGAAATTTCATCCCCATATTTTGAACTTTAATAATAAAGCTTCACTTTGAATTCTTAATTAATCAGGATTTCAAAAGTGCCCTATTCATCCATGTGCTGTTTACATACGATGGAACTTCTGTAAGCTGAAACACAGCTATAGTAATGTCCTTTATATCACCCAGAGATAATCATAAAATATTTTCAAGCTCTGTTGCATCTGATGGTATGAAGATAGCTTTATTTCACTAAAACTCAAGAAGTAGCAAGAAGCCTGGTTGTCCTCCTTTCACCAATACTTCACGTTCCTATTTCAAATCACGTTTGGAATTAAATGTCTGATAATTAATTTTGGGTTTGCTCTTATTTAATTATTAATCCCTATAGGTAAAACCGAAAGAAACTATAGGTTTCCTCATCGTTTGTCCGTCACTGTCCCACTTTGGTTTTCCACATTTTTGTACTATATGCTTGCTGATATATTGAGCTGATTTTCATAATGTGAGTATACCTCGATTGGTAGATAGATCAAACTTGCATTTCGTTCTGCTTTGATGAGATTTGGCGGAATTACGGACTTTTTGACAGTTAAGGGAAAACATTTTACACTTAATGCGCTTGTCGTTAGGGGACTAGCATTGCCTATGCATTGATCTTAAATAACATTTTAAGATAAATAAGAAGTACGATTTATAATACTTTAGATACAAAGAGGAAAATTAAAAATTACATATGCATGTTTGATGCATCCTAGTACAAGGTACTTGTATGATAAACAAAAAAAAAAAAAAAAATGTCTTGCAAATGTGCAATTTATATACTAATTTATATTGTAATTATTACCAGGTAACAATTAGGACACATGCTATATAAAAGGTATGATAACGAACAGTGAGTAATCTGAAATTTCAGTAAAATATACCTCTCGCCGAAAATCGTAAACAGGGAAAAAACAGACCCCTGGAAACACCAGAGATATGATCAGGGGCATTGGTTGAATAAACATCTACCTGGTACCGGTAATACCCACCGTGATACCACTGTATTGATCTGGTAAAAGTAGTAATCTGTAGTGATATTTTACTAAAAACAATGGTGTAGCAGTTGTTTTGAACATTTCAGTCAAAATACGAACCAACGATAGGTTGGTCATAATATCGATGCTAGATTTTGCAAATACCTTTAAACGGGATAGTTTAAACGGGTTAGTTTGAAAACCGTGTAGCATCAATTTATTTGTCACTTGTTAGTAGCGTGCCTCTGCTTAAAAATATTGATCGAACTCAGAACATGTTCTTGGGTATCGGATTATTTGGTAGATATAAACACCATATACAAGTGAATGTGGAATATTACTGTAGTAATAGGGAAAGTTGACGATGGAAAAGCTGAAAAGTAATCCGAATTTAGTTGTTAGTCAATAACGTAGCAGACTGTGATATCCTTTATTTCGAGTTCACTGCCATATATCGAATTGAATTATGAATGAAAATAACTATAATTCTTTTTTTAATAAAACTTCGAGATATCCAAAATTGAATTGAAAGCCACAGCAAGATTTTTCTTTCCATTCATGTACATTGGATTCTGACGTAACATGCATGCAAAGAAATCAAATCGAATAGAATCAATCGATTTTTGTTTATTTGTATATACATGTAAATGGAATACTGGAACCATTTCGTGGATGTGGAGATTTCGAGAAAATAACATCCTAATTTTTCATTTACTGAAAGATAATATCAAAATAAAATAATAAACTCCAGTAGTAATTCTGGAATAAACAAGCCACTTCGTAATGTGCACTTGGACACATACAGTCCGTGATAATTAATTTATACGATCAGAAGAAATAAGAAAGTAGGAAACAGCATATGCAACTGCTGGACTGAACAAAATATACAAATAAAATGAACTGAAGTTACAGATCGCAGTAAATAAGATATTCAGTTTTAATACATGGCATTATATTCAAAAGATGGTGTTGCAGAAACCCGCGAATATTCCCTACATCGAGAGAAGTACGTTTAAATACACAAGACGCATGAGGAGTTAGCTCTAAATATAGATACAGCTACGTAGATGAATTTATTTATACGACTGGTATGTCCAGCTCGTTCAAGGCAAAAACACATCACATTTTATTTAATGCATAGTTTTTCCTAACATAGCAACTGATTGGCGTTTATAGAGTTTTTTTTTCAGTTTTTACATGTATGTACCATTGTCGCCTTAATGTATGGGAAAGCCTAGAACAATATAAAGGAACAATGACTAGCACCTTGACCAGCATTTTTGAAAGATGAACTGTAGACAGCGTGCGTGAATATTTTTCAATTTAAAAAAAATGTGTCCCATAATCACCATGTTGATGCAATATCCAAGACATTCAATTGAGTCATTTCAATTTATTTGTTTCAAGTCAATTCTGGGCCATTACTTAATTAACAGAACGAAAATAAACCGAAATAAATGGGTGAAAATTAAATTATTTAAAACATCTTTTTTTAAATTTTGCATTACATCACCACTCAACTAAATAATACTTTTATGTCTTATTAGTTTAAGATCACAGTATCGAGGAAAGCAATTTAAATGAAATATTACTCTTAAAAAGCAATTTTTAACTTCTTATTGACATTATCTCTCTCTCTCTCTCTCTCTCTCTCTCAAAAGAGATATTTCCTCGCACTTCCATTACCAAAAAAAAAAAAAAAAAAGAAAAAAAAGAAAAAATAAATTAAATATATACCAGCCATTCCCGGATTCGAAACCATTATCAGTTAAAAGGAAATCTAGAAGTCCACCTGCTTAACTAATAGACCAATTGCAACACTATGATAGAATTTGTTATTTTATTTACACTTTTGCATTTCGGATGGATCATAATTTTCTATATTTTTTATGTTTTTTTGAAAATATGCCTCTTTGAATCAAAAACGGAAATGGCAGTTTTGAAGAGAATTCCTGCCTCTTTATGCTTATATTAAATTCATTCTGTTTCAAGGAGGCAATTTTTCGGAACCATGGAGATTCCCTATTTGAAAAATTCAAAATTGGACATATTTTTGTGTGTGACTAATTATCACTTTATTTAATGACAGAAAAGAAACCGATATGAATTTTCCAAATATCGTTCTACATTTTGCTGTATATTTTCCTGTATATATACCGTTGTATCTGAAAAAAAAAAATGAACATTATTATTTGTATTATCTCCTACACCTTTGGGGAAAATAAAAGAACTGCAATACCCTCTTTATAAAGATTACTAATCACAGTTCTTGCATCATTTAGAGAGAAAAATTAGTGGGAGGGGTTGGAATATGCATAACAATACTTTTTCTATTATGTTGAAAGTAAATGCCGGTGTAAGGTCCGGCAAAGAAATCCGTTTTCTTTAGGGAAAGTACTCAACTATACGGACATGCACACTCATCCAGTTTTGAGTTTAAG